AACGTTCCATGTACCTATAAAAATTTTTGCTCTGGTTGTTAGAAGGGGCATCGGCCTCGTGGCTTCCGAAGGAACTCGGCTTTCACCATGAAGCGTCATAATTCTTCTAACTGAAGACCTTCTAACTCCCAGGGCAGAGTTTAAATGGTTTGAATTATTTTTTCTGGTAAGCGTTTTTTTAGCGAGTTAGTTTTCTACGGGATGGGGACGCTAACCCCATGCCCAACCCTCCTCCTTTACCCGGGCTTGGGACCGGCAGTAACCCTGTTAGAGCTACAGGCGGAGTTACGGTCAATAAGAAGCCAGTATATATAAATCTTAAGTTTAAAGGTGATAACGTCAACAGGAGACTGAACACTGCTCTAGCCAGAACTTATCCGTCTGCTAAACTCATAACTCTCTGTAAAACAACATGTTCAATAATCCAGTCAAAGATCGGCAAGCAACTCTTTCAGGTTGCCGCCAACTGTATTTATAAATTTACGTGTACCTGCCAAAGAAGCTACATCGGCCGAACTGAAAGGAAAGCACATATTAGATTTTTTGAACATGTTCCAAAAAGTCTTAGAACAAGGAAAAGAAAGACTCTGAACAGTGCAATAACCAAACATCTCCTTGATACAGGACATCAGGTAGACACCTAAAAATCCCTTAGGGTGATTAGTAGGCAGCTAAACTCCAGTCTTCTGACGTTTGCTGAGGCCATTGTCATCAGGCGTCAAAAACCGGACCTATGCATTCAAAAAAAGACGGTGATTAATCTTTCCTTGCCCTGGTGACAAATATTCCTTCACTGAACGTTAAATTTTTTTTCTTTTATTTCTTTTGTGTTTATTACATCATTTATTTTACTTTATTTTTTCAACTATCTTTCAAATGAACTTTACTCACTATAATCCTATCAATGTTTATTCATTATGTAATCAATTGTTTCTAACCCACTTTTGAGCTGTTGTCACAATTAATGTTGTAGAATATTTTTTCACATTAGGTATATATTTACAATATTCAGTAAGCAATTTAAACCCATTATGCAATTATGCTTTTTAAATATCACAGGTTGTAAGCAGCTGACGAGAACCTACGAAATAAAATGAATTTGTGCTATTTTTGTAGAATCTTTGTTCTTGCTCTTTTCAAAATGATAAGGGGAGCTATGTGTATGAAAAGAAAATGAGGACACGAAAATAGATAATTTAGTATTTCCTAACCTTCGTTTGAGCGTGTCAATCAGTAGATTACGATGTTGTAGCAGGTCTATACCAACGATTGGGATAGAAACATCTGCGACAACAAAAATACAATCAATAGTTTTCCGTCAATTCACATTCAGATAAATATACCGCTTACCATATGTGGTGATCAGTTTCCCATTTGCTTCCTGTCAGTTGCAAGCCGGTTTAGGCGGACAGTCGTCAGAAATTTCTGGAAGGACGTTAACTTCTGCACTAGTGTCATCGAGACAGTGAACTTTCGCTATCACATCGGTGATGTACAACGGATGGCTAGTTTCTCCGATCACGGTTGTTGTAAACGTGTGCCGGCATGGAAGTTTCTCGAAGCCTCGTTAGTGCCGGTTGGTTCGGAGATCAGGAAACTGCAGGGTTTTCTACATTTCGGAGATTAACCATACGTATTGTGATGCAAGCACCAATCAAGTTTGTTCGTCTCTCGTGACCTAGAGGCCGATCGCTTCTTTGAAAAACCATTGCGAGAAGTTCGTGAGGGTCTACAATCATGGTAAATACTAAGGTAACGTGTCAGAGTATTACAGAGGCCTGTAACGTCATGTCGTGTCATTTGAGGCTTTTCTTTGACAGAATAAACCTCGGACCTAGGAGTTCTAGTGACCTTCAGGAGCTGGTTAGCAGATGTAGGCAATGCATCTAGAGTTATTTTGAAGTGATACGAACGCTGCATGTTCCGGTTGGGGAAGTTTAAACATTAAGTGCTGTCTAAACTGGTCTTCGTCAAAAGTCCGTTGACAAATGACCTATTGAATTTGTGGTAACATTTTTACTGCTGAGTCATATTGTAGTTCTGTGTCGTAGGAGAATTGGACTTAAATTTGTCGGTCGGTTAGGTCTCAACGTTTAAGGATAGCTCCTTTCAAATATTCATAAGCATCTGGAACATCATTATTAGACATGTTAGGTGTGCCGTACCTGTTAAAATCGCGCGTTAGTGCTTCCACTGCTGCGAGAAACTGTGCACGTAGGTCTGTCATGAAGTGCTCATAGAAGTCAGCTTCTGCGTGGCAGAACCAAGTTTCTATAATGTTGGGCCAGAATTGAGGGAGGAGAAGGAGTTTTAAGGTTAAATAACGTAGGGGCCTGTTCCTCCATGATTAATATAAAGTATACCAATGAACGAGAAAAAATATTCGAAAATACGAAAACAGTATAACTGTGTGTAAAAATGGAAATTCAGAAATGGAGTATGATGCTTCAATAAGGGACAGACACACAGTTTCCGGATTAGTGTACCAAATCACGTCGGGCTCAACACTATAGATGCCACAAGCATTCAGGGTTTGACAACGCCTTTGCACGTAACACCTTTATAATCGAAGTATGTCGACTCAGACAAATCAGAAAGCACACCTGAAGGGGATCGAGGTTATATTTAAAAGGCTATCGATATCTCGAGGATCGTTTGAACTAAGCTGACTAACGGTTGCAGGAAAAGCATAAAACGGCGTTATTTGGAACAAATACGTGACCTGGAGCCTTTAGTTAGGTGAATCCAGTAAAACTGATGAGGTCATCGTCAATATCGAAGAAATAAGGAACTATTAATTTTGTGGATATTTTTAACCGCTGAACTCAGAACCTACTACCGAAAGAGTGCCCTCCTCAAATTCAGCAGGAAATCTTATCAGCGAAGATCTAGCACAGACTGTCATAATCCTGTCCTAATTCGCAGATCGGAATCTACAACTAATTGGAATACTTTGACAGTTTCGATTGCGGTTAATTTGGATTTGACACACTTCGTAACCGCAGATTCTGACTCTAAATTCTAATTCTTATTCTTCATATTAACTTACAATAATATCTTGACCCCAGTAAATAGGTAAGTTGCCTCAAAGTCACTTTAGCGTCGTTTGAAGGTTATCTATACATTCTAATCAAGTTAACTTCTCCAAGACTAGGTTCACTTCGAAATTATAACCCATGTTAATGCCATCTGAAGGGAACGGTCTTTCACATAAACGAACTCAAATCATTGTCTTCACACTTTGGATCATTACTCAGGATTGTTTCTAGACATTTCGTAGGGACCCATTTATTTGTGATAACATTCGTAGCTTGTTAAATTGGTAAAATATTGCTTAGTAATTGGTATAGTCTATCATCTTGCACTAGACTTACAACTATTATAATGATAGATATGTCTATCATTCTGCTGCCGCTTTAGAATGTGACACTTGCGTTTTTCAGCAGAACTGTCAACTCGACCCTATTGATCATTTGCTTCAATAGGTTTGCGTTACTACTTGTCATTTTCAGAGCAATTTTTCTGTGGGTAATTTGTTAAAAGGAAGCTACCAAGGTCTCTCAAAAATCACTTAGGTTACTGTAGGCCCCCAAATGCCCTGGTATGGCCGAGAGTTGGGAGAGTCAACTCTTCTTCTCGAAATACTCTCACACGGCCACGCGTATACAGCCTCTGCTAGGGAAGTCCTACTCACTGCCTTCTCGTGGCGAGGGCGTTGTTTACGAAAATGAGAGGACGAAAAGCAAATGTCCGGAGCTTTAATTGGATCCCAAACCAATGGTGCACATGGGCTTCAGTATTCTCAGGAACAAATGGCGTATGGACCAATCGTTAGTCACCGGCTACCATGGGACTGCATCTCCTCACGATGCTGCACTGCCTTGTGGGTTAGACCCTTAGGTCAAAGGCTCGGAGTGTGGTCCCCTAAGAAGACCACCTGTTTCGGTCTGGGCACCCGGGCAGTACCACAGCCCGCACACACAAATATAGTGTGCATATATATTTGGTGCCCTCTTATACCAATATTTGTGTTGAAATAAACTACGAATAATAAAGGATACACTAGCACATATACTCAGTTTTTACTAACTCGTTCAAGAGGTACTTGGCTACAAGCTAGACCGTGTGAGGGCTAGCAATACTAACTGGTCCCATGGACCTAAGTTGTTACTAACGCGTTCAAGCCGCCACTTCGAAAACTGAATTTTCAGTCTTTTTACAGTTTGGAGCTACAAAGATTTCAATTCCTCGTCCCTCGAAATTTTGACCTATAAGCCTCTACTTAGAAACCTCAGTCTCCAGTAAATTTACTCACGAAGCCAAAAATTAGTTGTTGACGAACCACACTCTCATTAGTAGTCGTTATATAAATTATTTGTTTCAATAGCAAATGTTTATCATCGAATTGATGTTTTTGAAACCTGATATCCATGCATATGACTGAAAACAATAATTGTCACAAGTAGCTCTATGATCTCGATTAACGATTTGTCGCTAAGTAACCATCATGGATCTGAATATATCGGTTTATTTGGTGTATACTCCATCAAACCATATCTCTAACAAACTACGTGTCAAATAGTATTAATTAGGTTCTCTTAGTGTTCGAATATCGTTAACTTCCGTATCCTGATATTACAGCGGTTAATATAAGGCTCATTTTCTCCACAAAGCCGTTTGAGTTGCTTGTTGACAGATCGCTTCTCATTACTCATATCTTGCAACATTTTGCCAACATACCTGATAGTTTTTATTCCAATACATGGAAGATTTACAGCAGCTCAATTTATATAATTCCTGTTTCCAAGTTAAAATATTTTTCAAAAGGTTCATTGTTTAATTGTATTACGTTTTTAAGGAGGACCGTAATGAACCAACAGATCTCAGTGCTAAACAGCGTTTTTGCCCTAATGCAACACCATGTAAATTAATATATCAATGAGATTTTTGATTGCTTAGTTAGGTACATAATGTTTTGTTTTGCTCACTTAGCAAGGAATATGACTGACTTCATTGAAGCGGTATCCAACCCATTGGCACCTGATGTGTTTGTGGGTCATGGTGACTTTACGAATCAAAAACTATCTAATAGTGATTTTCGAAAATTGTTAATGACACCTAAGCCATCAGTACAACCTTCAAAAATTGATGAAGTACATGAAACTGGGACCCGCATTTCTACTCACCACTTGGAAAGATCCGATCGTATACGCCAAGATCCTAGTCAAACTATTCATCGTAGTAAACATAAGATAAGTCACAGGCGTCATCATGTTCGTAGCAAAAAAGATGCTCAAAAATCAGATGTTTCTGAATCAACACATCGTTATCGAGATCGTGCAAAGGAACGACGTGACGGCAAGCTAGTTGCTCCAACTGAGGAAGTTGAGGAAGAACATGAAATGGAAAATGATGATGACACTTTAACTCGCACAGCCGACTATCGTGCTGTTGCACCATCGTCTGCTGCTGGTGCTTCACATGCTGAACGTCGTCGAATGCTTATACAGGAATCTAAGTATCTTGGTGGTGATATGGAACATACTCACTTGGTCAAAGGTCTTGATTATGTTCTATTACAAAAAGTCCGTTTGGAAATACAAAATAAAGAAATTGAAGCCGAACAAGCCCTGGATATTGAATTAAACAAACCTGATAAAATGAAAGAAAGTACTAATAATGAAGAAAGCATACAATTTCGTACTCATCTAGCGGCAAGTATATGCAATGTTATTTTCAATGAACGTCTCCCAGAACGTAATGAATATTTTCAACCTGGTCGCATGGCTTATCGTATTGAACTGGAAGATGATTCAGTGGATTTTGAAGTACCAGCTACAGTGATTCGTAGCAAATCTGATTGTTTACAAATTGATGGTCGTGGAACTGGTGCAATAACTACTAACGAAATTGTTATTAATAAACTTACTCAAATCTTATCATATTTGCGGGCTGGCAAACGACATGCAAAGAAGACTAAGCTTAAAGGACGTGTTGCTGACAAATCTGAATTTGATTATGAAGACAATCGACATCTTACCCATAAAATGGCTAGTAAGTTTATTGTTATTAGTTTATAAAGTTTTTTTCACTACGAATGTGATCCACTGTATTACTAACTAGAGGATGTTGTTACGTATGAGGATATTAATCATTTCTGAAATGAACGATTAATGTAAACCATTCTACCAGGCATTAATTCCAACTCAATTTTATTAAATTCAAAACAATTTAATTCATTTAGCAAGTACATTTTCCTATATTCGACTTCAGGCCATATTATATGAAGACTATTTACTTTACTCAACTTCCCGAAACAGATTAAATGGAGTGAGGTCCGAACTTGTGACCAGCTATGTGAATTAATCAGAACTAAACCACCACTCCAGTTGGTAACCACTAAGCTAAATAATTTGCAAATACTTTTTTGGGTGACTGATGACACTCAATAGAAAAACGTTGTGGTTATGGACAATTATTGGACAAGTATGTATCAAACCTACAATAATATCATACTTTCATTATCCTGCTTTACGGTTTAAGGTGGTAATTGTGATCTGAAGTTTTGACTGATTCTCTGTAGGAGTTGATTGTGTTAGTGAATTAATCATCAACGGCAGATTACTACAGTAGTCGGATCACAGTTACTGACTTAACTTTATCAATCAGGTTACTTACTTCAAACCTGAGCAAATGAATGTTATGGGTTCGAACCCCATCCCGCCTCACCACTAACATTCACATCTAAAATATACCTCAAAGACAAGTGCGTGAATATTTACCTCGTAAATGACTCACTTAATATTCTCCTTGTTTGTGTATCGTATAGTCTTCGTGACTATTAGAGACCCATTAGAATTTACCGTGTTTTTTTTTAAATTTAAATTTTCTTAGGTAATATCTGTATACTATTGAATGGCTTAGATTTCTATAACTCGTTAATAGCTTATAACGAGCTTTTGCAATCAATTTTGAGTCATACACTTTTTGGTTGCTCAAACTAAATTAGCTGGAAAATCTAGCGTGCAACCTAATAAGAAAGTGTTTACTGATTCACCCACCCAGACTGCTGCTTCACAACAACTTTAGTAGTTATTCATATTACCCATATCAATCAGCTCTTCGTTCCCTCTCTTTGAACTCGATTTGTGTATACAGGTACACACTACTAATGAATTTGACCGTGAGTGACATCTACACTAAGCGTTTCATACATGAGTCTGTTTGTTCTTGGCTAAGATGTTTCTTATAAAGTCACCGTTTTTAATAGTTCAGAAGTTATAAAAAACAACTAAAAAACAGTTAAAAGGTAATTAAAGCGAAGAAATATCTTTATAGTTGTTTTTCCGCCCAGACTGCTAATAAGTATGTTTTGCAATAATGATAAAAAAGACCAATTAAGTAGTAGCGATACATTTTAGCTAGAGATGGATGGTAGCTAGCAGCGGAATTCAGGACGAGCATTTCATCATATTCTGGGACTCGTCAGCTGAATGTACTTGTATCACAGAGTTGATGTTCACTTCAGGAGTGGGACCCAGTACCGTTCGCTTCAAACACCATCGCGTTATCCACTTAACTACGGAGTCCAGATACCCACTAGCTTGTGTAATGAGGTGCACATATGCTAATAAGAGACTGATCAACTGCAGCTCTAAACATCAATGGGAAGATCCAAACAAACAATAATAAATAAATTAAAACTTCACCGCCGTTACACAAGCTAGTGTCTATCTGAACTCAGTAGCTAAGTGGATAACACGATGGCGTTTGAAGTGAACGGTACTATGTTTGAGTCATAGAGTGGATATCAACTGTGAATTGTAGTTACATCCAGCTCACGAGTTCCAATAGAACGAAACGCGCGTTCTGGATTCAACTACCATAATTTCAGCTTAAAATGCTTGTGACTGAAAGCAATATCGCGGCAATCCGTATAGGATGCACATATGCCAATAAGAGACTAGTCAGTTGCAGTCCCAAACATCAATGGAAAGATTCAAGCAACCAATACAAAACGAGTTACATTTTGATGTTACAACTTTTCTTAATTATGAAAATACTGTTTAATGGTAAGCTAAGTAATTGAAAGAATCAAAGTAACTGTCCATAAAAAATGAAAATGTAGTTCAATAGTTGACAGCTTATATACTCCAACGACAGACTTATTTGGTGCAGACGCTGACAAAATGCTGTCTTCTGACCACCGTAAGCAACAATACAAACATATTTAAGATGTAATTCCCCCTCCAAAAATGAAAAAATGTCTCAAGACTGGGTTGTATCAGTACCTGAATTATTAATAGGGAGTGAAGTCGTTAAGTGTCCCGACTGTTTCACTTATTTCGTGAATCCCATCATTCCTGATAGGTGGTTAGTGTCTGACGAAAACCAAATTGAATCATCTATAGCGTTGGCAATATATCCACCTGGAAACCAAAGTGCGGGTTTACTACGGAACGGTTTGCTCGGTTCGACTTTATGGGTTCAAAACATGTCTATTAAGAATAGAGGATATATTGTGACGGGCGGTGTTCAAAATCTGATACTGGTACACGGTATGCTACGCACTGACCCCCCCAACTGACTACTTGAGCGATAACACAAGAATGAGCGATAAAGTGTATTAGGCTACCGAATAAAATGCACAAATACTCATTCATATATATACCACTTCAATCCTTAGGAAATTGATCATTTTCTTAGTCAATGAAATTCGCTGGTCGTTTAGGCCGCTTCTGATTGTCGTCGATTGACCTCATTAGGCTACTTCTTATTGACTCTTCATATCAAGATATTTGTAGTTTACCAGTCTTCCACCAAATCGTCGAAGAACCTCTCGTTTATTTTGGGACCACCGAGTAAGCATTGCCGAGGTTAGGGATAAAGTACTGGGTAACAATTGCAAATCTGTTGATGATATGGTAAATCTTCATCAACTGAGGTAGTTGGAACATGTGTTACGTATGTCCAGCCACTTCCCACCTCAATAGGTGATGTCACGTGTAGTAGGCTGAAATAAAGTTAGGGGCGACTGAACCAAAACATGGAACCAGTCCATAACATCTTGGAAAATTTAACTGTGCCATGTAGATAGCTGTAGACTACTATAATGATAATAATAATTATTATTACCAAAAAATCAAAAGAAAAATAACATATTGTATCGGTGTATTTGTGTGTTGTGTTGAATTTACCTGATGCGCATATATATTCTATGTTGGTTACCGTGCACATTATTGACTGAGATTCTTTAATACGAAATATGGATGTTAGCGGATTATCTTGATAGGAAGCTAATTTAATAACAGCTACACAATAATTTATACCAATATAAAATTTCTGTAAGAACACAAAAATTGGAGGAATTCAAAAGTTTTTTTGGAGATGTTTTTACACAAATTGTGGTGAAATCAGTGTGTTGTTTTAATTCACTCTAATTTTTGCCATGAATTGTACAATTTACCACGATAAAGCAATTTCAGTCATTCAAAGTAAGATATATGATCAATAATTTTAACAGAAGTATCCAATTTCCTAATACCGAAGAAATACATTCAAAGGTAAACTTGATACACCGTCTAATCTACCGTCAAGATAAATAACAAAAACCCGTCAAGTATATTTGGTAAATATGAAGCAACGATCATTTAGTAGTCATGGTACTCTGGTTCCAGTCGGTTACACATCATCATTCCGAACTACGCTCCGTGCACTTCGGTCCGACCAAATAGTGGATAGTATCCACGCAAAAGCTGCGACTAGTGGTTCAGTACTTTGGATGATATAGGTCAGAATTGTTCACAGTAACGCAGGTGTATTCACTCGTCTCCTTTTACATGTTAAGTTTCCTAATTATCTCTAAAAAATCATTCAACGAATCCATATTTTCTCTTGAATCTTGTCTTCTATTCCTTATCTTTTCCACTACCATTGCTACTGCTACTAATTGTAGTAATCTAGTATCTCTATTCTGATATAGTGCAGCAACTTGAACTAATGCATATATATACCCAGTTCTGCGTTGCGTATGATTGACTGGGTAGCAACAGCAAACCTTACATAAAATAGTCTGTGGCTAGCAAAACGAAGTTCATGAACTTGTATATTACAAATATGAGTACTAATCATTACTAGTATATTATCATAAGAGGACGAAAGTTGTCGGAACTATGCTGTAAGTTGGCACAATACATTTCGGACAATGTGACCACACATATACTTGTTATGAACAATTATACATGAAAATAAATGGTCAACTAGACAACTGGATAATCTTCGCCTTCTTATTACACCATCTAAATTTATCAAATGGACTAATTCCTGTTAATTTGAAATATTTGTATTTGGAGTCAATTACAATCAAATTACATTTACCCAATGAATCTACGAGTTAAATATTTAAATGCATCGTTTTCCTGTCTTTTAATATAAATTGACACGAAAGTTTAGTAATGCAATTGTTGAAATTCACTTTAATCAAGTTGTTCCAAAGTATTATATATCATTAGTATAAAGGGATTGTGGAGATTGTTAATTTCATAGTTTGCATTATAGCACCTGTCCTACTATTGGGTTTGTTTACGGGTAATTTTATCTACTACTTCAATTAATTTATTCAACAGACAGTGTTATTCGAACGGTAACAATTTGTCAATTCCTTTTTATTATTGTTATTATCATGTCTGTATAAGCATGTATGCTTGATTACGTATAACGGCCTACGCGCATAGTCCTCACTACACCTTAAATAGTAGTTGCTTAAAAGTCGCTCGATGAATCACTTGCTTTCCCACATATATATATGTGCTTGAATCTTATTAATTGATTCGCTTCGATTCGATTTGACTCGGAATCCGCCTATGTATTCGCTTGTTTGTGCGCACCAGCCTTTCCGCTCAAATTCACTTTGTTTGCATTATGATCTGTGCTATCCAATAATAAACTGTAGTCGGCGCTTCGTGTTGCCTTATGAATTTGTACACTATCGGGATATACTTAATAAAGTTTATCAGGGTGATTGATAAACTAGGCTTGATGAATTATTTTTAAGCCAATCCACTACGATATTACGGACTGAGCATAGCTAAATGATCATAGACCAAGAGGCACTGAATATCTGTTTCGGCCTAGTATGGAACTTCTCAGTAATGTACGTTCGCGACCCCATCAGTGATTGAGCTTTAAGACCTTCAGGTCTCGCCCAAACCACTGAGCTGCCAACCAGCAGTGTGTACATCTAACTCCGACCAATTCGTGATATTAGGTGGTGTGTAACTATCACTCACATCCGACATAGTTGTGCTCCATTATTTTCGGCTTCTGAGTTCGATTCTCAGTGGGGTCATTAACGCACACTAATGGGGAGCGCCACACCTTGTCCTTTGTCTCCTGGTTTTCAATGGTTGTTCAGCTAATATCAACCCATCATTTAGACTCTGACGGTTATATATTAACTAATCGAAGTTTTTTGTGTACCATATTTTTACATATCTTCTTGTTTATCATGATGACCTATATTTTTGTTCACTTTGTTTTTTTCACACATTTACATAATCACATATGTCAATCAGCTTTGCTTTAACTAACTAATAATTATGTATAGTCATTTTGGCAAAACTTTCGGTAAATCTATATATAATAGTTATGACTGAGTGAACCAATCTGACATAATATAGCCCCTCCCGGATTCTTGCCCGCAATTCAAAGCTCATTAAAAGATGATAACATGTGTCTTATTAAGAACTAAATGGAAATTATATTTGCCTAGTTCCTAAAAGTTCGATTGATAAAATGTCATTTGTACGGCGGCACTTTGTGTGTATGTGAAATGGTATGTAAATCCAACTTCGACAAACACCTGATTCATAGCGTGGTCAGTAGTGTTTTTATGGATACAAATTATCCTAACATTCGTAAATGATATCTCTATCCAAACTCCTAATACACAAACCTAACCCTCTTTCGTCTCGTTTACTGTGATAAATAACCCAGTATGTAAACGTTTGTTAAGATGTTTGGTTTCCAAGATTTTATACTATTATGTACTCTCCCTATACGCTAGTTCAACCTGCTATTCGAGCAAAAAACTGACATAGGGATTTTATTGACTAAGTAAGTCGTGCTGTATACGTGTTCATATATAAAAAGTCAATGACAGTGTAGGTCTCATTCCTAGAGTATATAACCTATTTCTTGGCCAATCCTGTGCATTTATCATTTGGCCGATTTTTGATTGACCCAATGTATTAACGTTCATTAATCATGTGGAAAATTCACTTGTTGAGATTTATTATTTTTTGTTACATATCTTTATATAACCTAACATTGTTTCATGATTGACTGATAAGTCACTAAAGGTTTTCAGTGTTGTAGTTTACTTTTATCACACTTTTCTACACGTAAAATGTATATCTTTTTGTTACCTAATTGGACTTATCTTTCTTACTTGATAACAGATACTGCTATATTTGAAGGTATCGGAAACGATTACTTACCGACAACAAAGAAGCAATGTAAAAGTAACGATAGGATGGATTTACCATATGAGGATTCTAGAGTGTCGAATTCACGTAATCGTCTACCCGCTTCTAATACTACTACATCTGGTAATAATAGTAACACCAATGCTGAATCAACTAGTGCACAAGCATCATACTTCGATATTCCCGCCAATGCTGATTCAGTCACAAATAATTCAATAAGTGCTACTAAAGAATTTTTAAATGAATTAAGTCAACGTTTTGATGTTAAAGATGGAAATAGGTTACAGGAAAAAGTAGGTTATATACATATATGTATTTATTTATAAATGAGTAAATAAATCTTACGTAGGACTCAAGTAAATTAGACTGAGCAGTCGATTTCATTAATTTATTGAAACATATAAACATTGGTACAAGGAGGCACTAAATACATATGTGCTACACAAATCATTTGATTTGCGTGAGGGCCGGGATACTGTCCGGGCGCCAAAATAGAAGCAGATGGTTTTCTTAGGGGTCCACTCCCCTAGTACTAGTATGCACAATGTTAACTAATCAGATTGTATACCTATTCATCGTTCCAACCAGAGATTATATGATGTGGTGATTAATTCTTGGAAAAGAATGTATTCACTCGAATAACTAGTTTCAAATCGGTTGATGAAAAGAAGGAAAGTTTACGGCGATATTTTAACTTCTCATAAAGCTCTGTGATAAGCATAATAATTAAGGGCATCACTAAAACATTCACCACCAAGAATATTTTGCTCAGCAATAGAACCCGGAAGTACTGGATGATAATTTCATCCTAGTGTAGGAATCCTCAGCAGTTCTCATCTGAAAATCGAGCCCATGACCTCAGCCTCGCACGTGAACGCTAAACTCATAGATCATTGATCTTGCATCCTGTGGTATTAGCATTTAATTCTAATGAATTTATGATATTGCGTAACCTTAATTAATCGTCTGTGATGGATTACTGGCTAAGTAATAACATCGGTAAAATTCACTCGACACATAATCCAGTACGTATTGATCAATTAGGTTCCTTAACGGGGTCATTCAGCTACAACGTAGGACCAGGCACATTTATGCATCGGTCCAAGTTGCCATACCGCATTAGCACAGCAAGATGAACACTGGATTCATAGACGTAGTTACTTCAATGGGGGTAATATATAGAAGAAAGAACGGGGTAAACACAAACTATTAGGGACTACAGTCAAAACAGCAATATTAGAAAATAATTAAAGTTTATCAATATGTTCAGACCTTACCATCATTGTTATCTTCTTATAACATCTCATATCAATAAGGAATGACACAATCACTAAGTTTACTTGAAGTTAACAATTCATGTTAGTCATCGCCAAATTAAATTCCGCCTATAGCTCTTCTTAAGTTAATGACGGTCACAAGCCCGGGTAAAGGAGGAGGGTTGGGCATGAGGTCGGACACCCCATCCCGTAGAAAAATATCTGGCTAAAAAACACCAACCAGATTAAACAAATTAAACCAATTAAACTCTACCCTGGGAGTCGACAGAAGAATTATGACGCCTCAGAATGAAAGACGAGGTTCTTCAGAAGTCACAAGGCCGATATCCCTTCTAACAATCAGAGCAATAATAATTATCGGACGTCTAACAAAGACTCGTGAACTGCAAATACGAGAGAATCAAGCTGGCTTCAGACCTGGTCGTGGCTGCATCAACCACATTCACCATTCGTCAGGTTCTAGAACACAGGCATACTTATCGACGTCTGACAATGGTGGTCTTTCTTGACTTAAAAGCAGCATTTGACTCGGTAGACCGCGAGATTCTGTGGCAGTGTCTGTCATTGAAAGGCGTACCCCAGAAGTACATAAACCTTGTAAAGGCTCTTTACTCGAACACTACTAGCCGAGTCAGAGCTTATGAGGAACTGATTTCGCAACCTCAAGTGGTGTTCGTCAAGGCTGTCCACTTTCTCCATTTTTGTTTAACTTCATCATAGACCTACTGATGGAAATAATGCTCTCGTCGACTGAATTCTCGGCTATTGATATCCTTCCATGAGGTCCACTTATCGACTTAGTATATGCAGATAACATAGTCCTGTTCGGTGAAGACGCTGACAAAATGCAGAGTCTTTTGGTAGCACTAAGCAACAATCCCAGAATGTTTGGAATGCGCTTCTCTCCCTCTAACTGCAAGTTGTTGCTTCAGGACTGGCCTGCGTCAACACCTGAACTAAGGATAGGGAGTGAAGTAGTAGAACGCGTTGACAACTTCACTTATCTTGGAAGTCTGATCAGCCCTAATAGGTTCGAGTCTGACGAAACCCTCTGTACGGATTCAGAAAGCTCGTTTGGCTTTCGCCAACTAACGTCACCTTTGGCAAAGGCGAGATATCCGTCTATCAATAAAAGGACGAGTATACTGTGCGGCAGTTCGTCCTGTTTTAATTTGCGGCAGCGAAACATGGCCATTAAGGATAGAACATACTCGTAAGCTACTTGAATTTGACCACAGATGCCTTAGAAATATTGCTTGCATCTGCTGGGATCACTGGGTAAGTAATAGTGAGGTTAGACGTAGGGTATTAGGGAATGATGGTAAATCAGTTGATGAGGTTGTGAATCTTCATCGACTGAGATGGTTGGGTCACGTGTTACGCATGCCCGAACACCGATTACCACGACGTGCAATGCTAACCGGTGTTGGGGATGGTTGGAAGAAAGTTAGGGGCGACCAAACCAAAACGTGGCATCAGTGCTTGGAGACACTAACCTCTAGTCTGAGCGATGTTGGTAGATGCAGACTACTTGGTTGGGGTCCGCGTGACTATCGTAACCATTGGTTGGAAACTCTTGGTGACATGGCTCAGAACCGATCACAATGGCATCTTTAGTTAAAGCGTGAGATTTAAATTAATTTATACCTTTCTGCGAACTAATTCTTTCTTCTTGTATTTCATCATTATACACAATCTTTCTTTTATATATTACTACCATTTAAGTAACTAACTCGATGAATTTGGTGTCCGTCTTGTTGTGCTAATGAGGTGTGGCAACTTGGACTGATGTGTATATGTGCCTAGTCCTACGTTTCAGCTGACTGACGTGCCTTAAACCTAACCAATTGTTTGGATTATTAATTTAGATATGTAATTGTAAAACCCGAAGAAAACTCATGGAAAAGAAAGTTCCTCGCTCGTATATCTATATTTGAAGTTGTTTTGTTAAATAATTTAAATTAATTTGTCTTACTATAAACCATATTATGAATTCTACCTATAAGTTTCTTGTAACTGTCAACCTTCTCAACAAACGTTTTACGGTAAATTCAGTTTATTTCGAATCTGAGAGAATGTATGCTTCACTTGAGGGTTATATATATTATTGTGGCAGATTCGAGGGGATTGTTAAGTTTCCAAAGTTTAAATCACGAACTGGTCTTAGCTAAACCATAATTGAAACTTGAAAGCACTGGATAGCTGTTTCAGCCTGTTATGGGACTCAGCGGTGCATATTCACGGGGTATCCGGCAGTCCGATCTTATGACCTTCGGTTTCGCGTGTGAAGCTTTATATATATATATATATATATATATATATATATATATATATATATATATATATATATATATCATTTAAGAAATCGGTAAAACGGCATTTCCGGATAGTTAAAATCTGCGTGTGTAACGAAGATGATCAGTTGTGAACCATGTAAGCTAACTTATGAGTGTTATTTATTCTCATGTTATTAGTATTAACGACCACAGCTGGTCAGTTTCTACGTGGGATGTGTGCATCCTGAGCAGATTGGATCGATAATGCTATTTAGTCACAAGTTCTTATTATGGTTGAACAGTAGCTAGTAATGGGATCCACGACGAGCGTTTCGTTCTATTCAGGACGAAGGTGATGTAAGAAAGAAGATATTAATCAACAAACATAATGAATCTATACTGTCTGGAAGCCACAACTCATGATTACACAATTATGTCCTTTTTTCATGTATTTATTTTTAGGCAAGTCTTGAACGATTCTTTGCTAAAACTCAGGTCACGTGTTACGATGAATGTTATCCCGGTTTCGCTGAATCATACGATGCTATGGGTGATTCTGATGATGAAGCTGATTTTAGCAAAATGGATTTAGGTAATAAAAAAGGTCCAGTTGGTCGATGGGACTTTGAAACACAGGAAGAATATAGTGATTATATGTCGAATAAAGAAGCTTTACCAAAAGCTGCATTTCAGTATGGTGTTAAAATGGCTGATGGTCGTCGTACACGTCGTATTGGACCAAAAGATGAAAAAGCTGAATTAGATCGTCAATTACAAAAAATACAATCAATCATACAAAAGCGTAAACAATTAGCTGAAGATAGTGGTCCAGTAGGAAAAAATGTCCGATTTTAAAAATTGCTATAATATACATGTACATTTATTTAACCTTTGGTTTTTAATTTGATTCTACATGAAATAACTTTTATATTCAGATATTTAGTTTATTTTTGCCTGTCGTCCGATTTTTTGTGAGATGTTTTAATCATTTAAATTAGATTATCGTCAAAATGAATTGGGAATAGTGCGTGAAAGGATTACTCACTTCCTTTTTGTCAAATATATAGTTCTACTTATTTTCAACTTTTTATTAGATCTCTCAGTTCTCAAGGGTCGATGCGCTCATTCACTTTTTCAATCATACGTAGACGAAATGTTCCAAACTTAGGTTTTGCACTCATCAACAAGGAGTATTTACATTCTTGATATAACTGGGAATTATTGAACTTCTTGTCACCAATAAGCTAGTCTTTCCACAACTAGTAGGAATGAAATATTTACACTAATTGGCAAGAATTATTATCTTACATATATATTGAATAATGGCTAGCAGTGGAATCCAGGACGCGCGTTTCGTCCTGTTCGGGACTCGTCAGCTGGATGTACCTGCATCCCAGAGTTGATGTTCACCCTGGGACTCGAACCCAGTACCATTCGCTCCAGACGCTATCACCTTATCCACTTAGCTACTGAGTCCCAGTAGCCACTTGTTTGTGCAATGGGGTGAATTTCAATTCACTTGGTATTGTTTTGCTTGAATCTTCCCATTGAGGTTTAAGACTGCAATTGACCAGTCTGTTATTGGCATATGTGCATACTGTGTGTATTGTCTCGATATTGCCTTGATTCACAAGCTTCTTGACATCTAGTTTACGCGTAATAAGTGACACTTAGTGGTACATGCTATATCTTTTTCTTTTCGTGGACATTCTACTTAGATGCATGCCATATACATAGGTCCTCGTATACATTATCATAAAAGATCGATGTGCTCCTAGCCTTCTTACAACCTGTACGAGTCATGGTGCGTCACGGTGGTTAGTGGATAGACATGCGTAGTACATGTCATAACCATCTCCGTCGTAAACATGCCATAATTACGGAGTACTCTGGGTATAATCACACAGTTGCTAACTCGGTTGTCCTATAATATGCGAGCAATGCCTCGAATATACGTATGATGTAATACTAGTAACCTAAGAGCACCCCATGTTGTACAGTGCGCTGATCTACACGCTTGCTCAGCTTCTTAGTGAAAGTACGACGACAGTCCGGTTAAATATGTCACAATCGTCTTCACAGAAAATAAGTATGTACTTTCTGGGAGTAACATGATCCTTTCATTTTTGTAAAGTAGAACATTAGCAGTTAAAACTTGGGCAAAATGGTATTGCACAGCAAAAGCATATTGTGCGACTTGTTTTAATTAATTACCTGAATTTTAGCTTGGTACGTGGATTCATTAAGACCTAAATGTCCGTTCGGAAGGAAGAAGTGAACTTGCTGAGTGTGAAAAGTAGTTCTAATGTTATCGAAACCGACAGTGTTCCAGGACGTAATAACCAGTGAAACTACGTGAACGTTATTCAAAAATATAATTATAACTAGGGAGAACTAAAATCTCTAGGCTTTCACACATTACGGTTATCTTAAACGGATTATTTGCTTCGCTATAAACAGATTTCCGGAGTAAGGACAATATTGAAGGTAGATAAATCTCGACAAATTGCGGCTGACAACTGAAACTTTTGTGAGATGTTTTTTGTTCCAAGAATGTTTGTGCACGTTCTTAGATGAAGCCGTAATATACCGGTTAGTATCATACCACAAGCAAAAAATGACTTGGCAACAGGTGAAATTTAGTCTATAGAGAAGTGAGCATAATAACAGCGAGTTGATCTTTCAATATGTCTATCCGGCTTCCTTTTATGGGATTATTTCCATTTTGTGGATTTAAATAAAGTCAAAACAAACATTGATGTGAGATAATATGAATTCATTATATCTCGTGATGTTCGTCAGCTACTTGCAAACCTATTTATAAACTTCACTGGTCACTAACAAAGTCTGTTCTGCTTCTTGCCCTTCCGCTTCCCCTCTTTTTCATCACCCCTGTGGTACACCACCGGAAATATACATAGGGCATATGACTTCGTCCTGCGACGTCACTAATACTTCCGAAATTTATTTGGGAACACTATCATGAAGCACAAAATGACACGTTAAAGTTGACGTCTTTAGGTGACTGGTTATGCATTTAATGCATCGTTTATTATGAACGGCTTTTGACTCTAATTGCATTCATCCTCGACCACTGATTGCTTGCCGCAACATGTAAATAGCAATTCGATCAGTTTGCTGGAATAACCGTCAAAGTAAATTCCCCAATCAAATGCGTATGCATTCCCAGCTCACTAAGCTTCCAACTAACTCCGACTACCCGATTAAAAAAACTGAGCCAATAAATCGATAAGTCAATAATTTCGGATCAAATGTATTTTCTATCTTACTATTTTGCTATTTGCACACTGCTCTCCTTTCCTATAAGCGTTGTCCTTAAGCGCTTTCAATAACTTCCACAGAGAACGAGAATCTGAAAGAAGTATGGAATATTTCGATGGGTACAGAACAAGAATCTAAAAGGAACGCCGAAGTGAACAGACGTCTCGTAACACAAAACGTTAAAGATGCCTTCACACGTAACACCTTTATAATAGGAGTATAATAATCCAGTCGAATCAGAACTGAAGGGCTCGAAGATATATTTGAAAGACTATCAATGTGTGGAGAAGCGTTTGCTGTAATGCGGCTGACAGTTGGAAGAGATGTATCATATTGCGTACCCACTGGTGGTCTGGTGCAGATGCATGATCGCGTGGAGATAGTAACAACAAAATTATTCTGTGATTAGTTTTTTATATTATTTGCATTTCCTGTGTTAATTCTCACGATTCGTAGATTTACTACAAGTGGTTGCAAAAGTTATTGAAAATTGCATGGCCTTGAATAATTCCTCTTCCCTTTTAAACACCACAGAGCACGACACACTGGTAACCGTTCATAGGTACACTGATACACACGCACGCTCCTCTTTCCCAATTACCTGTTGTTACAACAACTTAACCCTAAAATATCTATTATCTACATTTATAGACCACAAACATATTTCAATTATTTATCCATTCGGATATACGCTCGATTTATAACAATATTCATTGGGATCACTAATTACCTATAATTTTGCTGGAGTTTTGTTCTCTGAGCTGGATGGTCTGGTCGTGGAGCTTTCATCGTTCTTCTGAACGATATCATCAACACAAACTTCAAATAGAAGTGAAGTGTTTGAATTTCTCCATATGTGTTTCAATGCTTGTTCTGTGCACTTCGATGTTGATTGGTTCTTATTGACCTTAAATTTGTCGTTGTTTACTTCTTTGTTTTGGTTGTGTCTCCGATTGTTTTGATTTTTGTTCCTATGTTTGTGCATGCTTTTTCTGATTGGTTGATAAATTCGATTGATTTCAACATGCTTGTTGATTGCTGATTGACCCGAGTGCCAGGCTTCTAAAAATTCTCTGGTGTTTTTGGAGTTTCCTCTGTCTAAGATTTCCACATTTTTCCAATCGAATGAGTGTCCGCAGTTGTCCACGTGTATTGATATAAGTGAGGAGATATCATGCCGTTTGACTGCTAATTGATGTTCATGTAGGCGCAGATGAAGGGGGCGTCCGCTTTGTCCGATGTAGTGTTTTTCGCAGTTGGCACAATTTATTTTGTAGATGATGTTTGATTTGTCTTCCTTTGTTATTTCATCTTTTGGTTTGCATAGGATTGATTGTAGTGATTTTGTCGGTTTGTGTGCTACACCTATTCCGAAGGTTTTCAGCAGTCTTGTTGCGGTTTCTGATATTCTTTGTATATATGGTAGGGTGATCCTTTTGTTGATTTTTGTGCTTGACTTGCGTTCTGATGCTGCGTGCGGTTGGTACTTTTTGATGAAGTTGATTGGGTAGCCGTTCTTCTGAAATACATCCTTCAGGTATTCCTCTTCATTTCTTCGTGCTGGGATCACCAATATCAGGATTGATCGCAGAGGCAGTGATGCAAAGATTAGAAGCCGCTATATTACCAGTGATCAAACCAAAAATTTGGATTCGTTATGTAGACGACACCTTCGTCATCGTCAAAAAGAATGAACTAGAAAACACGTACAAACTGATCAACAACGTTTTCGAAGACATCAAGTTCACCATGGAACAGGAGTCAAACAACAAACTAGCATTCTTGGATATATTGATCACTAGAACCGACACAGGAAAACTGGAAACTCAAGTATATAGGAAACCGACCCATACAGATCAAATTCTCAACTACAATAGTAACAACCCAAGAGCTCACAAAATCAACTGCGTACACAATTTGTTCAAGAGGGCGAGAACACATTGCAGCACACTCGCAGCACGAAGAAATGAAGAGGAATACCTGAAGGATGTATTTCAGAAGAACGGCTACCCAATCAACTTCATCAAAAAGTACCAACCGCACGCAGCATCAGAACGCAAGTCAAGCACAAAAATCAACAAAAGGATCACCCTACCATATATACAAAGAATATCAGAAACCGCAACAAGACTGCTGAAAACCTTCGGAATAGGTGTAGCACACAAACCGACAAAATCACTACAATCAATCCTATGCAAACCAAAAGATGAAATAACAAAGGAAGACAAATCAAACATCATCTACAAAATAAATTGTGCCAACTGCGAAAAACACTACATCGGACAAAGCGGACGCCCCCTTCACCTGCGCCTACATGAACATCAATTAGCAGTCAAACGGCATGATATCTCCTCACTTATATCAATACACGTGGACAACTGCGGACACTCATTCGATTGGAAAAATGTGGAAATCTTAGACAGAGGAAACTCCAAAAACACCAGAGAATTTTTAGAAGCCTGGCACTCGGGTCAATCAGCAATCAACAAGCATGTTGAAATCAATCGAATTTATCAACCAATCAGAAAAAGCATGCACAAACATAGGAACAAAAATCAAAACAATCGGAGACA